GCTTGTAACTAATTTTTCACCATTTATTAGTTGGAGAGCTTATTTCTTCTGTCGCTATTGAAAATGATGTTTCTCTTCCTTATGAACGTGCATCATTGTTAAAATCAATGTTTAAGTTCGTTTTACACATGATGCAATCATCTGGTACTGCAGATGGCCTACGCAATCTCATTGACACTTCACTGCCAGATTCGTTGAAAAAAGTCTTTGAACAACCAAATGTGTTTGGTAGCAGCATATATGCACTTGGTATTTATTTAATTCTTTTCTTGGAATATGTTGTTACGCTTCATTTCATTGATGTTTATATATATTTTATTCTTCATATAGCCATCAATTTGATTGCTACGTTCATACATAATGAGCCCACTTCGCTTCCGATTATGCAGGAGGCTAGACTTCCACAAACATTTTTAAACTCCATTTCTAAAGAAATTCCTTCTTCTGTTGATGTGAGTTAAATTTAAAATATAATAATTTTAATAAACTCAAATCATTAATGTCCATTCGTTTTTATAGGTGATTCAATCAATCCCGAATGCATTTGGCGCTATTTGCTTAAATGCTCAAGGAATGGAAATTTTTAACCAGATGAATCCGATAGACAAATTCTTTACTATTTTTACATCTGATGAACATTTGCGTTCGCTTCAAGACTCGGATGTTGCATCAGTTTTGGGAACCTCAATTGATGAATTGATGCGACATCATCCAAGCTTAAAGCAATGTATCATGAACGCAATAATGAACACCCTTCAACGCATTATTGAACTCGGCCATAATTTGGCAACTAAAGATAGTGCAAGCATATTACACGCTGGCAGTGATGATGACCAAGTCATTAATTCAGAAATTTCTGGGGAAGAGGGATCAATAGATACAAAGATGACTGACTCGGATAATACTAAAGCAGATGAAAATAAAACAGATGAGAAGAAAGAAAACACAGTTGTAGCTTTTATTGAAATTGCGGCACGGGTATGTATTTTATTTTAAAAATTTGTTGATTTATTAATTCTTTACTAATATAACATCGTTACGTTTAGTTTTTGGAGGGTCTTTTTCAAACACAAAATCATTGCAAAGAATTTTTAAAACAGGAGAATGGACTCAATATAATTTTAAAGTTTTATGCGCTACCAGTTTTGCCTTATGAATTTGGCTGTTCTCAAGCATCATATTCTCTTTCACATTTAATGAGAGTCATTGCAGATGTTGATCCAAAACGAAGCATTTCTGCAATAGTTTGTGCCCTCAATGAAACACTTCAGGGAGCGACAAGCTTCTTGTCATATGAAGGAAAAGGCATTCTATCCGAATATGTTGACCTAAAAGGTAGTATTAAATTTATTATCAGATCTACATATAGTACAAAATATATACAGATTTAAACATCGTGCTTCTTAATAGAAAGTGATGTAGCAAAAATCGAAGAAGCAAATAACACGTTTAGGACATTAATTACTCTTCACGGATACATTGGATTGCTTTCTGACGTGTATTGTACGCCCGTATTTTCACACGGTAAAAGTGCATCTTCAGTGATTGATGCATTTATTGGAACTGACAATGATGTATTACCAACGCTTGGAAAACTTCATCGGTAGTCCTTACGTTCCTTCCTTTATATACGAAGTTGATATTAAGATCATTTTTTTTTAACATTGTTAATGTTTGCTTTTATAGAGTTTGTGTCTGGGAAAATGTTATTTTGAAATCATCCGTTCCAAAATCTTGGTATAATCTCCCATCAAAAGCAAAAAAACCTTCACATTTTCCTGAATCATCGTCAAGCATAGCATCTGCGTTATTAGACGACGCGGATAAAGAGGCTACAGATTCAAATGAACCACCAGTTGATCAAAATGATCGTAAAGTAAAAAATGCCAAATGTCTGAAGTTCTTGGTTTCCCAAATCCCTTCTTGCCTTACTCCTTTATTCCAAGGTAAATTATTAACATTGTACTTAATTGTAATAAACATAGAACTTTATGTTGAATGAATCTTATCGATCACATTAGGTTTAGCAAAAATGTTGTTTAGTCGAAAGTCACCCGACGCTTCACAGAAAAAGCAAGCTTTCAAAATTTCAGATGCTATTGCTGAAGTTCTCCGGGACCATTTGACTTGGCCGCGATATGGTACTGTATGTTTGTTTTTAATTCGCTTTATCACATTTCACTTACCTTTCTGTTTGTTATAGAACTTGATAGCGAAGCTGATTCTACAAATAAATATAATTATCTTACGATAATGCTCGGATTATTATCTTTACTTTTCTTGGACGGTAAATTGATGGTGTACTAATGGCAGTTATTGTTTTATCAGCATTATAATGACGCTTTTCTAATTCTTTTCCAGAACGGAGTCAAGTATCACTTCAAACAATGCTTGTTGTTTCTTTCGACCGGGTTAATGGCTTGGATGTTGTATTTAAACTCTTACGCCAATTCTGGGAAGAGGCTGAGGGAATTAAAGTCCTTGAAGAATATTCTACAATTGAAGTTGATGAGGGGTCTAAAGAAAAACTTTCGCGAATTCATGGATGTATAGATGTTACACTCAACTTTTTCCAATTTGTTGGATCATCTAAATTATTACACGAGTCACCCCAAACAGTACCGCTAACAACAAAAGACAGAGATCCACGTGTTGAACCCTTCGATCCCTTTAATTTTCTCGTGAACGTTCGAGCAAAAATTCTTCCTATAATAAATGAACTTTGGCAAAGTGCCTATCTTCCAAGAGCTCCCCCAAATATTGTTCGATCTGTTCTTCAAAATTTAGTTCAGATTTTAAAAGCAGATGGGGAAGTTAATCAACGCCCTGAGGGATCAGGATCATCAAGTGGATTAACAGCACCTACTTCTACACTATTTGGTGCTACTAGATCGTTGGTACCTGATGAAGAACGAGTTCAACAATTGATTGATATGGGCTTCCAGCGCTCATCAGCTGAAGCTGCACTTATACGTTGCAATAATCATGTTCAAGCTGCTACAGAATATTTGGTAACGCATCCTCAGACTATTGCAGCAACAGTTTTCTCAGCGGCACCATCTACCGAAGCAGGTCGAAATTCGTCTGATACAACCTCAACAAGAGGTAATGCACCTACTGATGCGGGATCTACGATTGATGTGACTGGTACATCTGGAGATGATGACGATGATGACGATGACGTATCTGATAATGAAGATGAGAGGTCCAATGATTTAGCTCAAGCTCTTGCATTATCAATGCAGGGGAATCAAACTCCTGTAGAAGGTGCCGTTGCAAATGATGGTTCAATTCCTATGGAAACTGAAACCACATCAACAAAACCAGACAAAGGTAAAGGGAAAGAAGTTGATTATATAGATCATTTCAAGACTCTTAGAGATAAGCTGAGGTCTACTTCAGCAACTCGCGCACTTGAACTTCTTGATGCAGTTGAAGACATTATTTTTGAAGTAAAAGACCTGTTTGTACTTCTTAGCAAAGACGATGCTGAACAGAACATTAAATTAATAATAAAAAGTATTGAAACAGTTCGAAGTCATCCTGACGAACAGCGCAAAAAAGCTCTTAATTCTCGTTTACGCCTTTTGGCTCTTTTATTGAATGAGAATAGTATACAAGGAAAAATTCCAAACTTACCTTTTAATATATTTTCTGATATGATAACTATGATCTCCGAGCAAACTGGATTGCCTTTAGAGAGTCCTTTGCCTAAATGGATTGCACCTGCTTTGTTAGTTATTGAGGCGTTTATTTCATCATCTGAAGAACCAGTTAGCACTGAATTAGTTACAAAACCTGATGAATCAAAAGACATTAATGTTTCTTTAAACGAGTTGAGTTTCATTAAAGCAGAATCGCGAACTCAACTTCTTGACTATTGTTTATCTTTA